TCCATTTCCATTTATTCACACATCCGTTTATTTCCATTTTATTAAACTCTACTATTTATTTTTCATACTCCGTAATGTTAATGAGTGTTTTAATACCCCTCAGCTTGTTTAGAACATAAAGACAAACGTTTATCGTGTAAGTATAACAAGTTAATTAAGATATAAATGTATTTGTACACTTCAATAAAATTAATTACAATAAAAACTAGGGTTTATAAAAACGGCCCAATAATAAAATTATTATATTAATAAATGAACATTTCATAGGTTAATAACCAATAGATTCTAACAAAATATAAATAAATACCCCCGCCGCAGCAAACCTGCCGACTAAGCGAATTTCCATTTGTCTTAATTGATTTTCAATTAAATATATTTTATTTAATAACATTAGGTTTAACGAGTACCTAGGTTTGCTGCTACAAGGAAACTAATAAAGTGTGTTTTTTTTTTTGTAAAATATTGATAGCTTAGTACAAAATAAATAAATTTGATCAAAATACAAAATATTTCCATAAACAAGCAAACTACAACATTTGACAATATTCTCCATAAGAATAACATGGGAATTTTAAATTTACAATTTTTTTAATTTTCTCCGTTACTATTAACCGAACAAAAATACTTTTATATACTAAATTAATTGTTTTTTTAAGCTCTTTAAAAAGGTCTAAAGAGAAATTGGGAAATTTTGTGTTTTGAGGGTCAAAAGTGAGAAAAACCAATTTTTACCCCATAAAACCCCCCGTAAAGCCCCGTTCCCATGGTCCGATCATGCTGGTTCGCGAACTCATTCAAGTTTATCCCGCTTTACACCTTTAAACCAAATTTCATCAAAATCGGACAAAAATTACTCAAGTTATCGCGTTCACGGACGTATATATATATAAGTCTATATATATATATATATATATATATATATATACATATATAAAAATTTGAACGAATGGTGTTTTTGGCCTCTGGGGACATCAAAATGAAAAAGTAAATTGGTCTCGGGTCTATGTCTTACCGTGCCACCTACGGTAATAGCTACTTCCCTATAGGGAAATTCGCTAAAAGAGGTTTCTTTAGTAATTAAGAATGGGGTTTTACATAAGAATATTAGTATTATGATAGCTGATTACACCTATCTTATTTTTATGGGGATGTTAAAATAACTACTCTTCTCAATGTTTAATAATTAAGTATTATCAAGAAGTTATCATGATTCTGATGATAAATGCTGTATTACATAAATCATTGACCAAAGTCGATTCAGAGTTTTTTCTTATGGCGTTATATAGTAATAAGAGTTTCAAGCAAAAAACTTTAAATGGTTCAAAGTACCGAGGATTTCCTATAACTTACGTACATGAGTCGAGAGAAAGAGGTGTTATATCATTCTATGCTATTTATAGTTTGAGTATTGACGTTTTATAGACCAAACAATGTTATTCAATACTTTACAAGTGCTTATTATTATTACAGTGTAATTTAGGTATATAAATTACAAACAGAGTATTAAAATGACTCATTGATGTAAATTGATGCTACAATCATATTCTGTGTAGCTACATAAGAACACTAGGAGACTGCTGTCATCGCGATTTTGGTATGATTTAAACATACAACAGTTTGTATACTATTCAAGAAGGATAGTTGAATTGGATTCAATTTTTAATTAAGAAAGAAAATTAGTTACTATATGTAACAATTTAACTCTACTTACGACTTTATAAAAGAAAAAGATAATGTTATAAAAACTAATGCCAAGTGGATTGTAAATTGTGAAATACAAAGTAAGTAGAACTTGAAATTATCCTAGGAATACCATGAACAGTTTACCAAATTAATATTAATTGTTTTACAAACCATTTCATGGACTAAAACTTGTTAGTATTATTGGTCGTTAAATTGCAAGCTAGTTGTGATTGCAAATAATATATTTAATACTAATTTGTAATGAACTGTTTTTAATATGTTCGATCACACAAAATTTTAAGAATATATCCTAAATAGGTTTTAAAAGTTATGATAGCCAGACACTGTAAGCTATGACATTTCACAGAAACATGTGTTAGTGCCATTTCTAACATCTTAAAGGAGCTCTCAGGTTAATTAACAAGGGTGCGGCTTTTAGCAAACGTATATGCTTGGTAATTAATGTAATTAACTTTATTTAAGGTTACAAGAAACCCTTCACTATTTTTAAAGGTGATCGAGAATTAAAATACTGCAGAGTTGTTAGTCTTAAGCTTAAAACCAAAGTCTTTGCCTGAAAGGTACTCTCCCACCTCCCTCTGATTTCATTATGTACACAACACTTGGAAAATTTACGGAGTAATAACAGCAATTAGTTGATCACCTCTACAGCGGCAGCGGCTTGACACTTTGTAGATTCTTAATCAAACAACAAATCTTAACCCCCACCCATTCAAGAAGAAAGCAAATATTCCCAATTTCCCTGTTACGTGTATAGATATACTTTTTATAGGATGGATTTTTGTACTTCATTTTCATTTTTGTACTTGATGGACTTTTCCTTGCATCTAAATAGCATCAAAAGTAATTTAGCCAACCAAGTGCAGTTTTATGGCATTTTAGTGCAATTTTTTAATTAGTCCCAATTTTGAAAATTTACGTTAAATGTAATATATTATTCTGAAAATAGTTTATTTCGTTTTAGAAATAGTGTAGTAGGTTAACACTCTAGGATTGACACCGGCCTTAAAATAATAAAAAAAAAACATTGAGGGAGTTGACATGAAATTACGTGTCCTAATGCACGAGCCAAACTAAAGCGGAGTATCAAAAGTGATAGAAACTTTATTGAGTAGTTTAACATTTCAAACACGAAACGGAACCGGTCATCTATGAAGCTCTTGAATGTGACCCGACTGGGAAAACATGGTAGTTAAGTCCTTTTTGGACTTGCAGGTTTCTAAACCAGTAGGGTATGTAAAACATATAAATTTCATTTTGTTGTTAAATATTTTTAATATCATAGGTATTTTCGGAAAATACAATTTAGCACATTAAACTAGATTTAACGCTCAATCAAACCTTTAATTCGGCAATTTATTATGGACTACCAAAGGTTGATTCGAAGTAGCTTTTGGATAGAGCAATTGCCTAGTCCCAAAGTATGCACATATAAGTTAAAGTTGAAAGATATTTATATTTTAAGGTTTATAAATTTCTTGGACATAATTTTATTGAAATTTAAGAAATCATTATTAATACTTTAAACGTAATATTTAAGATTATAGACTTTAAACAAATATACAATATTCTAAATTTGTCATGTTATTCATATTGCTCAACTAAGTAACATGGTTTATTTTAATGGAGCTAATGTAGCTTTACAAATGAAGTCCCTAGAGGGAAGAAGTTGCTATAAGTTTTTAAAATACTTTGATTTACATGTCTTGAACTGCTAAAAGCAACCAAAACTCATCTTGGGGTCTTTGAAGTTTTTGTTCATGACGTGAATATTGAAACTAAGATCGTGGCTGAATTATGAAATGTAGAAGTGTGGAAAGGCAAAATGTGAATAAAAAACGTATTACATAGTATGTAGGCCGTACTTTTATAAGATACTGAACATTATTTCCAAATTATATTGTAAGTTTGAATTAATATGACGAATGCTTACACTGGAATTGTATCCGATTCTTACAATAGTCTGCAATAAATCTTTATCATTAAGGCTTACGATGGATCCTTCTGAGACATAAGCCAATAAAGGAAACGATGTGGGTAGTCGAATCCCTTTACGATAGTTAAAACCATAAAACCACTTGACGAGGTAAACACTCCCAGGTGACTGTGACTGGACTAAAATGGCTTTGAGGATCATTTTTTTATAAAATCTGAGAAATTTACTGTGAACCTTGAATGCATGTTAAATATAACAATAAGATTTCCTTAAATATCCTTAAACACGCAACTTATATTAGCAGTGTGTTGAATTTGCTCTTACAATTTCTTTCAACCACTTACTACGAATTTAGGCCTACTGCAAAATGTATTTTATTGAAAAGAATCTTAGTCACTCTCATAAAAAGTAAAGAACTACCGACTACGATTTTCAATGACCTTTTGACCTGTGTAGCACCTTCCTTTACTCCCTTCCACAAACCCCAACGCCACGATGCTGGTGGTGCAGAGGAGGGACACTTTGGGAAGGTATTGGCTCGAGTACTCGTGGAACCAACACCCCAACACCTCCAAGAAATGGCAGAGGTGGCCCCTTGAATATTTGACTTGATACTCAGTCTACAGCGATCCCTACAAACACACACAATCACCAACCCTGGACGAATGAGACTACGTTCTAACTCACGGAAAGTAAAATATTCTAACTCAAACAAGGGGAATTAAAAAGAAAAAAATGGTTGTAATTTTGTTGTTTGAAGGTGGTTAATTGTCTCTACTGATTGGGAATAAGTAACTGATTCTGTCATCAATGAACTGGGAGTTCATTGTTGAATCAAGAAGATTTTATTTTCCCTTAATTTTCTTTAGAATTTAGAATTTACTCCAAAGTATCCTTTTGTTTACTTTTGAAAGTAAAATTAAAAAAGGGAAATATTTTAAACACATTAAACCATTTAAAGATTAATTGTCTTTTTAATTCATGAATTTAACCCATCTCACGTTTCTGATAAAGTGGAATAATTAATATCCTGCCAATTTAGTGCCGAAGAACGTTACTTGTTATTTAAATAAAGTGTATTATAAGTTTGATTAAAGCAATATGATTTAGACAATAACAATAATATTACAAATTAATAGCACGACTCCAGTCAAGAATAGTAAATTTACTGGCTCTACAGATGGTATAGTAAAAGAAGTATATGCTAAAGACTATATGCTATATGCTAAAAGAAGTATATACAAAGAAGTATGTACTAAAAAATAAAAAAATATGAAGACGATTTCTAAAAAATCGTTTTGAAACCAAGCTGAGCAAACACTTTACTCTTGGCAGCGGAGAGTGCAGAGTCAACCAGACCTTAAGCAGTTCTCGCACCACTGTAGTCCTCGGGTTTGTTTTTGTTGGCTCCAAATATTTTAACTGTTGGGAACCCCCTGACACCGAACCTCCCTCCTAGATCGTCAGCGTTCACAGCTCCGACTTTCACCACACCCTTAAGTGCTTTTGCAGCTTTGGAGTATTCACCCACAAACTGCTGACAATGTCCACACCAAGGGGCGTAAAACTCCACAACCCAAACATGATCACTTTGGGTCACAAGTTTATCAAAGTTTGATTCAGTCAAATCCACCACTTCAGATTTTGAGTCGTACAAAGCATAGGTATCGGGTAACAGCAACACAACACCTAATAGTAGACTCGTAATCATGTTTTGATATTCTATAGAGACCTAGGACGAACAGCGTAAACCTCGTCTAGATAAAGCCGGTGCCCGCTAAATTTAAATTCACTTGGGCAAAAAAAAAATAATCAATACAAAGCTTGCTAATATAAAAACTAAATAGCAGCTAAGTAACTATTCAAAACAAAATTCAAAATAAAAATTGAAAAACAAAATGTAAAGATAGAATAAAACAAATTCTTCTAAGAACTTTTATTCAACATTCAACTAACTTAACAACTCACTTCAAAACAAGTCAACAACATAGTAACCCCTGGTAACCATAGTCATTGAGTAAACATACAAATCTATATAATTAATACGCTACACGAAAGTTTGTCGGTTGAACTCCTCCGCCATTTCCTAACCGATTTTATCCATTGACGTCTCATTGGAAAGAGCGTGTCGCGTAGATTTGCAAACTGACCTTACATTTTTGAAAAAGTCCCATGGGCTCTGCCCCAGTGGCTTTGAAAGTTCCCATGTTATCCTTATGAAGAACATAATTGTTTACATTTTGATCAGCTGTATAATTTTATTGCTATTATTTACTTTTCAATTCAATGAAACACATTGAGTACATTCATTTACTATTTGAGTTTGTGTAAACATAACCCCCAAGACGGATCGTGTTAGTATGGTTGTATCTTAAATTTGTGTATTTATCGTTGTTTTGTGTCGCTATGATGGATTGTGTTAGCATGATTGTAACTTAAGTTTGTGCATTTATCGTTGTTTTGTGTAGCTATAATTTGTTTATTATTTGTTGTTTATTCAAGTCAACAACATAGTAACCCCTGGTAACCATAGTCATTGAGTAAACATACAAATAATTACTTAATCACATGTCATTCCATTACATCCTCTCTCCCATGATAAAATGTTAAAAATTATAACGCAATGTAGGTTTAACTTCTCTTCCGGTCCTAGTGAAATACCGTCCATTAACTTTTCTGCCTCTTTCCCATTCCACTCTATTTTCTTCTTTCTTTCCATTAGAAGTTTCTGTGTTTTCGCTCTCTTTTCCGTTGCTAAGGCTATTTTCTCTCTCTTGACAAATATTAGGGGTTCCTTCATCCGGGTAACAATCCCATGAATCATACATGTTGATATATGATTGTTTACATGTCGGGATAAGAAACCTCCTGTTTCTTCTTAAACAATTTCCATTAGACTTCACCATGTATTCTCTATCATTGGAACCTCTATCTACTATAGTCCCGTACCGCTTCAAATCAGTTATCCATACATTAACCCCCTTTTCCAATATGTTGAGATTCCTAGCTCTGTGCCTACGATCATAGTAAATTTTGTTCTTTTGATTCTGTTTTTCTTGTTCATTTCGATACTGATCTAGATCAGGCCAACGAGAGCGAAGCTGCTCTGGAACTGACGGAAGAGTTGTGCGTATTTTCCGTCCAAAAATACATTTTTGTTTCCAAAGGTTTTGAGACAAATACGTCAAGATTGGATAGAGATGGATCTAAGATTGGCAGGATTGATATAAATATTAATAAGCTATTTTTCAAAAATAATGCTGTCTTAGTTAACGATACAACATATTAAGTAACTATTCAAACAATTTGTTTTTTAAATTCACTTTTAATTTTTATTCTAGAAATAACGAAACATTACAGTTTAGAAAAACTACAATTTAGAGTCATCTTCTTCTTTGGATCACAACGGCGTTCCGTGTATTTGTAAATGAATTTTGCTTTCCACAAAAGGCGGTTTAAATAATCGTCTATTGTAATATTCGATTAGATTATATTCAAATATTTAGGATGCAGACCATAAAATTGAGAATTTTTAGACCAAAACAAGTAATGCAAAGGATAATACTTGATCGAGTAAAAATTACTATAACAACACGAACAGATATTTGCGTTTGGACAGAATTATTAATATATTGGACTGTACAATAGTTTAGTCGTAAAACTTTAATTAATGCAGATTGATTAAAATACTAATTGCATGAAATAAATCTATTTGATATAAGTGCTTTGTAGCAAAACAAGTTGTTTTAGCTGTTGATGTCCTACTCAGCGAGATTGGATATTGCCATGTCCTGGGGAGGATTTGCTCAGATGGCTTCTAACTTACTACAATGGAGACAAACTGCTAAATTGCCGAGGGAACAATTCCCAAGATGTCTACAATGGCCAACTTACTGTTGTATCTGAATAAATAATTACTTTGAATGTTCATACTTGTTTGGATTATTTTACTTCATAAATTGTAACTGAATTATGTTTTTGACCCAAGGAATTAGGAATTCGTATCTAACAAAAAGTATATATTACGTTTTATCAACACACTATACAATGTGAAAATAAGTATTTATATTTATAACAGAAAATAAAGGCTGTTAAAAGAATACTTTTTCCGATTTTTACTTTCCCTTGAAGTTAAAATACCTAGTGTTCAAAATTTGTATCAGACAGGTTTTTGAAAGGGAATGATACCATCTCATAGTCTCATTCATAGTCTTGTTGGAAATAAATGCACCTTATAGACCCCCCTTCCCTACGAGAAAATTGGCCAGCATTTGGCTATGAGCTGTATTGATTGTATTGCTGCTTTGTTGTGATGTGGTAAAGCATAGCTATCCGCTTCTATTTCCCAAACACTAACGACCGTCCGCTGTTTGATTGCATTACTGTATTTCAATCCATTGAACCCATGTCAAATGCATTGTCACTTAATTGTATTCAAGCATTCCTCTTACAAGACTTATATTAAATACAGAATGTAATTTTCTCTAGTTTTTCAATGTTGAAGATTTCCGCTGTAGCAATCCTACAGACTAAGTCAATTTCCATTTGCCTGATTGCATTTATACTGAAATATATCCTCAAACATGTCAGATTTATTTCATATTTAATGATTAGGATTACGGAGTACTTATGTCTGTTGATGCAGGGTAGGTAATAAGTTGTGTTTTTGGCTTTAATAGCTTAGTATTTAAATTATAAATCTGACAAATAAAATCAAAATATATCCATCAAGAAGCAAACTACAAAATTTTACTTATTCATCTTGAGAATAACATAAGCGTTTAAAAATTTAGGAGTTTTGGCAAAATCCTCATGTAGGTAATAAGCTATTACCGTAGGTCTCATAGTATCAAAGTAAGATTTAAACCCGTGACCCATTTACATTTTTACCTTATTACCCGTCCCTGTAGCAGCAAATCTAAGTTGTTGATGGTTGAACTACGAGAGGAGCTGGTTTGATTCCTGACACAGTCACAGATCATATTAGTTTGGACCACTTTCCCAAAATGCGTTTGTGCATCTTCTCTATATAATTTCTTCTTAATCCACATGGGTAGACTATTTAATAAAAATAAACTAATGTTAATTGCAACCAATCAGTCATTAGGAGTTATTTTAGTTGAATACAATCAAGCAAATGGAAATCAACTTTGTCTGCAGGTTTGCTGAGTGAAAGTTTTTAACGTTCATCTTTTCTATGAAACATTGAGGTTCAAACTTAACAAATGAACCCTTGCATGGACAAGAAGAGAATCTTACTGTGAAGCTTACTTGGATACTTGGATACTTGGAGAATTCCCACTGGTATCGCATCAGCGACGTGGTCGTCAGGTTTTTATACTTTTCTTGCTTTTAATTAATATAAAATTGATTCATTTCCTCTTCATGCACATGGCCTAGACATATATTTCTTCAACACTGTAGTAGGCCGCTTGACTTAAAAATGTTTTAAGCAGGTTCTTGAATTTGTTGATAGAAGGCTCTTGCGTAATGTACTGAGGCAATTTATTGTAAATCTTTATACTATTGAAGTAAGGGCTCTTGCTTGCAAGGGTGGAATTTACTTGTGGTACATGAGGATTTGTTGCTCTTCTTGTATTGTAATTGTGGACCATGCTGTTAGTTACAAAAATATTAGGATTCTTCTTAACGAGCAATGCAGATTCCAATATAAAGAGAGACGGAAGTGTTAGAATGTTCAGTTCTTGGAACAGAGGTCTACAGTGTGTCCGTCTATGGACTCCACATATTCTTCTAATCGCACGTTTTTGAATTTTGAGCTCACACATTGTGATTTGTAATTTAAGAAGAGCATGTTTATAAAAACCTTCATTGAAAATACATTTTCGTTTAATAGAAATAAAAACATTTTTGCACAAATTGAAATTTTGTTGTTGTCCTGTAGTGATCATAAATATTTTCCGATTCGTTTATATAATCTAATTTAATCGTTTATTTAGTAATTTAAACACTATCATTTTTGTGTAATGTTTTCTAACTCATGTGTAATTAATTATGCATGTAACTCCATGTAATTGTTTAGGATTAACTATATTTAAGTATTTGTTGCTCTTTACTATCCCTCAATTTGTTAGAAGTTTAAGCTCTTTCATATAAAGTTAAATTAGTTCTTTTTTTATCTATAACAGGATTAATTCCGTCTAATATTTTAACTAAAAAATCAGATTAAAATCGAATAAAGACGACTGAATAACTATGTAACAAGCGTGAAGTATGGAGGGTCAAGCATTTTGACCAAGATAAATAATTATTGGTGGCTTAAGGGTTCAGTTGACCACTAACCAATAGCAATTTCCTATCAGCTTTGGTGACTTGCTAAAGTTTTCACATGTTCTCATCCCTTAATCGAAACCTTGATATTTGAAATAAAAATAGAATACTTAACAAAGGAACTTTTAACTACTCAACAAGCAATATTGGTGGTTACCTCATGTATTAAGTGCAAACTTCTCTATTTTTCCTCCACGCTGTAAAGAAAACATGTGATTGGAAATCCTTCAATCTTTTTTATTTTCTGTTTATATTTCGTTGATAATTCGTCACCAGCATAGAACCCATATACATTTTTTTATCCATTTGTCACGTTTATTTTTAATTTACAAAGGGATTCTGCGCATTTATTAACTATCTTTCTAACAGTATGAGTAGATTTACCCTGCGTTGTCATAATTGGCAGTGTTTGGTGAGCGT